GCCAAAATACCATACAGTCGAGGTGTATTTAAATGGTACCCTAGGCTACTAGACGAAGCGGGATGGTACGCTATCTCGTGTAAATTCAGAAAAGTAACAAGAGAACATTATTCTTACCGGCTGTATTGGAAACTAGCAGTTGACTAGCAAACTGTAGTAACGGGGTTAAGCCTTTGTACACCTGCAGTTTGTTACTACGGATTTCATTTGATGCGTAACTGGAACGATTGGACCCGTTACCGGGTCTTCTGCAGCATTAGCAGTTAATCGATATAATATATTCGTGACTTTTGCAATTCAGTAAGTTTATATGCACCAACAAGCGAGTTAATCAAGAAACTTACTGTATGACTCTTCTCTGATCATTAAGATCTTTCACGTCGAGAATGTCACCTCTAACGAAAGCAGCAAATTGATGCTGAAAAGACCATATTGAACACAGTGTTAAAAAGATCATTCTGAACAGACGCATACGAACTTACACTTGTACTGACGACCAATTCACTATAAGAAGGTGGAACTCTCCTTAGAACGCGGCGTTTTCGTATTTTGTCTTTCTCAATTGTTACACTGTAGAGGCTCCAAACTAAAAGACAGTATACAACTGAAAAATTAACATTTATGACATTAAACAGTAGGCAGTTTTGTCTCATGATAGAAACAGCAATACAGCGATTGCAAAAAAATTCGAATTTCTATTGAAAAATCTTGTCGTATAGCTCCACCAACATCAGACTATGCGGCGTTTCGTACAGCTTCTTGCTATTGGTCACTTAAAGGGGATAAATCTGAGAAACATGGGGTTCCGCAATATTTCAGCATTTGCAATGCCAGATGTACCTCTCCTCACTTTTTTCGCCAGAGCAACTTCAGGCTCATCGCCAGTGATGTTTCAGGAACTGGCACTGCTTATATGATACGAGTAAATATTAATAAAACTGGAAATTGGGGAGTTATGAGCTTTCAAATATACTCTTATGTACGATAGTATTTTGATGTTTATGCGGTAGAATATGAGGGACAGCAGCTTCTGAAACATTGTTTATTGGGAGTGGGGTGGCTACAGCGAATAAAATGAGGCGAGATGAACCAGGAACTACAGGTTCTGATCAAATACTGTGAAGTTGTCGCCTGTTTGAATGACCACCCAGACAACTAGGCGCAAGTGATCGATGAAATACACCATGAAATTTGCTCTACTGGAGGAGTTATATACTACGAAATACGAACAGTGGCGCATAGTTCTTTCAATACCAACGAAAAATCTTCTTATTTCAAAACACTTCATGACCCGCGTTTTGAATTTCACGCATAATTGACATCATCCATCATCAGGATCACAGTGACATTAATAGACAGTCATTAAACTATGTTATCGAAAAGCTCAT